TTTTTTGTATTATACGTATTCCTGTCAAAATCAGATTTGTGTTCAAACAGAGACAAGTTCATTGGTAATCTTATGAGATGTTCATTTGTTTCAAAGGATATATGTTAAAACTTTTGTGCTCAAACCAAATTATAAGAGGAGAAACTTGGTAACACCAAGTTTCCAAATTTTAAATTAAGTTGATTATCTCTTTTTACTCATTCTTTTTTATTTGTGATTTTAGTCTTTCATTCTAATTTTAATTTAGTTAAATATGATTTTAGTTTCATAACTTTAACATGAAATTGAAATTTATTTTTAATCAAAATTTTTACATATTTTTATTTTTAAAGTTTAAAAAATAAATAAATATAATTTTTTTTAATTTAATCACATTAAATATTTTGATGTGTTAAATACTTTCCAAACAAATATCGAAGAGAAACATGTCAAACGTGTAAATAATTCACATGGTAGTATATAAGACATTTAACATGTAAAAAAATAAAAATAAAAATAAATTAAAACAATTATATTTTTTTATTTTTAAAGTTTAAAAACTAAAATGTATCAAAATCTTATATAAAAACGAATTTTAATTTTACTATTATAAACATTTTTAATCCATTTTAATTTGAGAGATTCTCCAAACCTTTTTCTTAGTATCACTTTTAATGTCATAAGGGACTTTGATAGCATAGTTACATAATTATTCTATAAAACTATTTGGTATGATAAGTCATTGAACAATATAGTTGTTACAAATTAACATTCTTATATGATACATGACGTAAAATAGGATTTGAGTTCAAACAAAGATATTTCTGTCCAAATTAGACGTTCTTCAAATAATCTTATTTATTATAATGGCTCTTCAAATTTTATATTTCCAATTCATTTATAAATATTAAATTAAATACATTTTTTTTAAAATTTATATTCACATTAGTTTATAAAAAGGTTTAAATTTCAATTAAAATAATTTATTATAAATAAATATACAAATCAATAAAATTAGAAAAAGAAGTTTACTTGATTCATCAAACATTCTAAATAATACTGTCTAACAAGTTTCATTCCGTTTTACTAATATAAAGTGGTGTAAAATATTCTAACATATATTTATTAGTGTAAATATTCATATATTAAAAATATATGTGACCAAATCAAATAAGATATAATATTATTATTATTATATCTCGATAGTCTGCTTAGGTTAACAAGTTCAAAAATATATAAAACAGGAAAAAAAAGTCTATAATTATGCACATTCACAATTATAGTGTACATAATAAATGAAAATTGTTACAACACATACACTACTACAATAATGTTGGGACTTATGACTTGTTTTTGGTTGTTGAGGGGGTCTCCTATGTATTAAATTTTCACACGTGACATAAGAATTAATTAATGAATTTTGAGAGCACATGAATAAATTCTCCTTTTTTTTAACTACTCTACCTATAGGAAATTTTTCACATGAACTAATATAAAAGTTTCCCCAAAACATTTTCTTAAAGTATTTATTATCACACATTAGCATTTATCTTTTATATATTTTTTAATTAAGTTTCGAGTCCTTTAATTAGATATTTGTACTTTAATTTTTTTCCATGAATATGACTATTATCTTATGCCATCGTCTTATTTCTTTTCATTGATTAAAAAATATGAGATTGTGAAATTATGGTTACAATAAAATGATAAGTTGCTCTTATTGTCTACATTAATTATATTATCATTTTATATTTGTTGTAAAATTGAATATATCTTAATACACGACTAAACTTATTTTGAAAAATAAGAATAGGTTAAAAAAAGTGATATTTCATCTAAGAAAATGAATAAACCTCTCTGAAAGACTACATTAAATGGTTATTAAAATTTGAGACTTTTACAGTTATTCCTGGTGTGGTTCAATTTCCAGAATATTGGAAAACACATAATTGAATAATGTAAAAACAACTTTCAAAACTTTTCTCAATACGCAATCCAATAAACTGCGTCTACCAAGCCGAAGTTCGTAAGAATTTCGTAAAAGTAAAATTACTACTTCAATTTTCATACGTATAAATGTACATTACTCAATAATGTAAAAACAAATTTCGAAACTCTTCTCAAAAGCTTATAAGAATTTTATAAGTGTGATTTTATTAAAGTTCTTCGTGAAATTTGATGTTTGTTTCTCATGGATACTCAGTCATTTCGTCTTCCTAACTGAAAATCAATATTGTTTGTTTTTGTCAGAGCTACGGTTGAAGCTCTTACTGAAATGGAGAATCAGGATACAAAAATTGAATTGTTTGGGAAGTTTACATGGACCATTAGGAACTTTTCTACGTTAGACTCCAAGAAATTGTACTCGGATACGTTTTCTCTCGATGGCCACACATGGTGCTTGATTAAATTACTGCGTACTGTACATGTTGCTCTTTCATACTATTTCATCCTTGTTTTCTCATTAAGTTTGGTAACTTCGCTTTTAGGAGGATTCTTATCTTTCCAAAAGGGAATAAAGTGGACTTTTTGTCAATATATTTGGACGCTGGTGTTGCTACTATGCCTAATGGATGGGAAAAATTTGCGAAGTTCAAATTCATTTTGATTAATCAGCTCAATTTTGATAGAAATATAATAAACGGTATATTTCACAGTTATCTCTCATGTTGATATTTGAATGTTATTTTCTTAGGTTAATGAAACTGTTCTTCTCCTAGCAATTTCATAATTTCATATGAAGACTCTCATTTGGATGTGTTTTTAAATTCATGGAAGAATCAAATCATTTTGCTTCTAATGTGTTTTTCTCATTTACCTTTTTCTATCTGTAAGTTTTTCCCTAATACTTCAAAATCCAACCTTTAGTTGTTTGTCACCCTTATTGGCATGTACTTTATCCCAAATTGTTTGGTAGAAATTTGTAAGTGGAAACCATTTTACTTAAGTAGACATCATAAAATATTATTAAGTTCTATTACTTTGGGTAAAAGGCATCCACAAAATGCTTCCACTCCATTTATTTATAAAAATAATATATATTCAAGCATGATATATTATAAATGAGTGGGATATAAGCATTTTGATGAATTCTTTACCTTTGTAATATTTTATCAATATATATTTATTTGAGGATCGTATGAAATTGTTTTAAACTAGATACCCAACTGACTTTTGATATATGAATTTGTCAGAAACTAGCCACACGTTCAATTCAAAGGAGGGTAGCTGGGGATTCCCATATTACATATCTTTGGATGAACTTTGTGATTCTAGTCTCGGGTTCATTTTAAATGATACTTGTATAATTGAAGCTCATATATTGGTTCATATATTGGTTCATATATTGGAGCATGAGAAACAAGTTGATGAATCAGACAGGAACATCGACAATAAGCTTGTTGAAAGCATTGAGAATCATTCACCCATGGAAACGATTTCAACCTCATCATTTGTTGAGGTGGATTTTAGGGGCATGGGAAAAGTAGAAAAAGATTTTATTCCTTTATTGGAAGATGTTTGTTCACGATATCCCTTACTTCTGGATAATAAGAAATGGAGAAGTCAAAAATTTATTGAATGGGCTTTAACAGCTTTGGGTAGAGTTCTTTATTTTCTCGATTCTAAAAAGGTAAGAGACATGGATGATGATGCTTGCAATCATCTCCAAACTTTATGGGAGGAACTTGAGACTTTTGGATTTGATTTAACATGGTTGAAACCTCATGTTCAATCTGCCTTAGGTATGAAGACTCGTGTTGAGAGAGTTCTTGAGATTAAAAGGTTGGAACAGAATGTGACTTCTTTAGAGGAGAAAACAAAGGCTATGAGGACAAATATGATCGAAGCAGAGGTAAATCTTGAAATAACAAGAAGAGACTTGTTTAAAGCAAAAGAAGATTTTGAAAACTGTGATTTGGATAGTGAACTCGGTTATGGAAAACCATGAATTACCTATGATAATGAGTAATATTGCTGAACTCTGTTATGGAGGACCACAAATTGCATATGATAACTTTTATTAGTATAATTATATTCATTGTGTGTTTAGTAGCTGCTACTATGCGGGTAATCTTCGTTAAACAGGAACAGAACACGAAATTGATATTTAAGGGTTCTTTTTATGTGTTTATTTTATGATGCATTGTATATTTCTTGTGTTCATGAAATTGAACTGTTACTGTCGCAGTAATCTCAGTTAACTTTTCTCACCAATTCTTTTTTATTCGTTATTTCAGTCGTTAATCTTAATTTTAATTTTGAAGACTCTCTAAACCTTTTTCTCATTGAGTAAAGTCACTACAAAACAAATGAATTTTTATTAGCGGTTGGTTTGTTTTGGATATAATAAACCTGGTAATTTTTTCAGATTTCAATATTTTTAATACTTTTCATCTTCAAGTAAATTCTGTTGGTTACGAAGAGAGAACTTGGGACCCTGCGTATACTTTTTTAAATTACCAGATAAAAGAGTTAATGACACTTATTTATAGACTCAACAACAAAATCCAAAATAGAATACGCACAAATAGTATAAGATACTTGAATTAATATAACATTTCTCTTTAATTCAAAGTACTAAAACTAACTATAACTATGTTACTGTTTAGACCTCCAAGTCTGTCTTTTCTTAAGGGCTTTATAAAAACATCAACCAATTGGTGAATTTATCAATGGTGACCAAGAAGAACTTCTTTTGAGCCCGCCTAGGTAAGAAAGGTCCCACGATGTTCATTCTTCATTGGGCGAACGAGCACGGAGAGACCATATTGCGTAATACAGTGGTGCGTGTACGTCATTAATACCCGACCCTGATCACCCTATCCTTTAGTGTTCGCCGCCCGGTATGGAAAGCGCAAATGCCATTGTGACTCTGCTTCTTACGAGATTCTCTCATCTCCTCTATCTTTATATCTTTTGTCGCCAGTTCTCTGAGTTTGAGGATCGGGATTACATATTGTAGGGCAAGCTCCGGGTTGAGGCCTTTCACCCGCCGTACGATCTTCTGATATCGATCAATAAATATCCTCAATGATTCCTCCTTCTCTTGCTCAAGATTCACGAGTGTGAAAACAGTCAAGTCCTAAGCGCGGTTGCTCGCGAACTGATGCCCAAATATGTGTTTGAGACTCTCAAAATTCTCGATTGAGTTGGAAGGCAATGAGTTAAACCATTCCTATGCTTCTCCTTCCAATGACAGAGAGAAGGCTCGACACTAGATGGCGTCGTTCCTAGTGTGAAACATCATCCGATTGGTGAACATCTTTATGTGATCCTTTACGTCGGTCGACCCATCATACATCTTAAGTAGGGAGGGACGAATTATTCATATATGTGCACGTCCATAATGGCGAGAACTAACGACAAAATGCTGATCGTGTTCTCAGTTTTCACCACGAGTTACTTACTAATAGTGGCGCTCTCGTTTGGGACGGTCTTTGTCCCATTTTCCCTAACTTTTGTCTTAGTCGACCGCCATGAGCCATTAGAACTCGTGTTCTATATAAGACCCGTATAGATAAAACGAGGTTTTAATCTAATTATTTTATTTTGAGATATTAAATTATAATTTTTTTTATGAAATGATGTTAAGAAATATTTTAAGAAGTGAATAAAATTAAATTAGTAATTATTTCTATATTAATTATTGAAAAGAGTTAAAAGAGTACTTAAATATAAATGGATGCACTTTTATATCAATATTTCATACTCATTTTCTTTTACTCAATCTAAATTCTTTTATTGATTTGAGCATCCAAAAATATTTTTTAAGTAGATATTTTTTATATCCCAACCATCAAAAGTATATATAAGGATTCTCCAATCCACTCACAACTTGACAGTTGTATCAAAGTTTATATGTTTTCAGATTTCAATAATATCAAAATTTTATACAAATTATAGATAAATTAAAGGTATAGGGTTCAATGATAGATGACTCTAATTGTAGACATTAATTATAATATTATTTTATATTTGTTACAAAATTATGTATATAACTTAGAGCTGTGAAAATGGATTACAACCCGCGAGTTAAGAAGTTTATCACGGGTTTAGGTCGAAAAATATATGTGGATTGTATTGTACTTTTTTTATTATTTTGAATTGTCTTAAATTTAAGATCATTTTGGAAGTTATTTAATGACCAATCCCATTGTAAGTCAGATTAGATAGGTCTGGATGATCCGTTTTAACAACACTAATATAATCACAACTGAAGTTGAACAAGTTGGAGAAGATAATGCAGTGAAAGAAGCACAAATATCTATAAACCCTAGTTTCGGTGTTGAAGAGGGAATACGTCAAACAAACCATAGAAGGTTTGTTCGATGGAGGAGCTAGATCGGAGGTTTAATCGGTGAAATTGTCTGATTAAACGGTGGAAAAGGTTGGAAGCGAAGATTTAATTGGTGGGAATTGGGAGAAACCCTATATAATGAGCTGAGGTTGAGTGTGTGGGCGGTTAATCGGTGCGAAGGTGCAAAATAGAAAGGTGAAGGCAAATCTAAGATGTAGATCGGTGGAAAATGACTTACGGTGAAGGATCTGCGATGACTATATGGTTCGTGATTGAAGAGCTTGAGAGAGAGAACATAAATGATGACGCGAAATGAAGATGTGTGGCTGTGTTGATGGAATCTCGCGAGAGAAAATGCACGCGTGGTAGGAATCCTGACGCAAGCCACGAGGACGCTGCGGATTTGTGAGAGTGGCGTGAGCTGGATGCTACGCTGGAGGAGAGAGAATCTGACTTGGGAAATGAAAGAGAATGGTAAGGTGAATGGAAGGTGGCAGGGAGAATCCGTTGGATTATCTTGTCATGACTTTTTCAAGGATGAATTGGTTACAGAGTCTTCTTTACGAAAATGCAATTCAATTAATCTCAAAAGTGATTTTACAAATGTGATAGCATGCCTTTTATAGAGACGAGAACCCTCCTACCATGTAAAACATGTGCTGATATTCTAGCTATCACATGTATAATATAAAGTAATATTAAAATATGCTTTAATTAAAACTTGGGCTTGGCCCCGTCTATCAATACACAACTAAACTTATTTTAGACAGAAAAGAATATGTTAAAAAAACTGAAACAGAAAAAAAGAATACTGATATCAATATTTCATCCAAGAAAATGAATAACTTTTCTTAAATACTACATTAAGTAGAATTATTAAAATTTGTGACTTTTAAGATTATCCTGGTGTGGTTCAATTTCCAGCATATCGGAAAAGAGGATTAAATAATTAAACACAACTTCCACAACTTTTCTCAATACGCAATCCAATAAACTTTTCTCAATACACAATCATATCTGGGTGAACTTTGGAACTCTAGTAGCGGTTCATTATAAATCATACTTTTATAATTGAAGCTGATATATTGGTTAATATGTTAGAGCATGAGAAACAAATTGATGAATTAGTGAGAAACATGGACAATAAAATTGTTGAAAGCATTGAGAGACTTTCTCCCAAGGAAATGATTTCAATCTCATCTGAGGTGGTGGATTTTAGGGGTATGGGAAAAGTAGAGAAAGATTTTATTCCTTTATTGGAAGAAGTTTGTTCACTGTATCCCTCACTTATTGATATCAAGAAAAAGAGAAGTCAAAGATTTATCGAATGGGCTTTTACAGCACTGGGTAGAGTTCTTCATTTTCTTAACACTAGAAAGGTGAAAGACGTGGATGATGATGCTTGCAATCATCTTCAAACTTTGTGGGAAGAACTTGAGACATGTGAATTAGATTTGTCATGGCTGAAACCTCGTGTCGATAGAGTTCTTGAGATGAAAAGACTGGAGAATAATATGACTATTTTAGAGACGGAAACAAAGACTTTGATGACAAAGATGATTGAAGCAAAGGTAAATCTAGAAATAACAAGAAGGTTGGTGAAAGTAAAAGAATGTTTTGAAGAATGCGATTTGGATGCTGAACTTAGATATGGTAAATTATAATTCATGATTATGTTGTTTGTATAATAATTTATTATGGGTAATGGACATGTATTCTTTTTTAAGTTTGATGTTCTCTTAATCATCAATATGATTTTTGTTGTTTGACCTAAATTGCATTTGATAATTTTGATGTTGTGGCCGGAAAGACTTGGTGAGGAGGATGTCCCATCAGGAGACGCTGGAAGATGCGTTTGAGATAAGCGCCCTACGTGCTACTGAGACAGTTAAGGATAAAGTCGAGCACTTGAAGGAAAAATTGGCTATCATGCAGTCCGATTTGGACGAAGCGTTAAAGGTTAATTCTAAGTTGAACATTAAGGTACAGGATCTGACCATTGCTCGTGCCGACTGCGAGAAGAAACAAGAGGATGTGGCTACCCGACTGTCTGAGACCGAGAAGCTTGCAATTGAAGCTGGTCGTAAACTTCAAAAAAGTAATGAAGATCTAACTTCAGAATGTCAGAATATGAAAAAAGTGATAAAAGAACTTGTCGCACAGAATAACAAGCTCATCCAAGAGAAGGCTAAGTTAGTCAGGGAGAGGAACGCTCTTTCTGCCCAAGTGGATGATTGGCTGGGTTGTTAACAATTAGAAAGATTGGAATGATACAGAAACAAATGAAGATCGGAATTTAAGGGTTTAGATGTTTACTTTATGACATTTTATATTCTCTGTTGTCATGAATTTCAACTGTAACTACACTCATCTTCCTGTTAACACTCGGTGGTTAATAATTTTAAATATATATATATATATATATATATATATCCATCTTTTTTATGCTAATTGAATATCATTTTATATTTCAAATATTGAAATGTATCCAAAATGGTTTCCTAATATAAATTTTTACCACACATACACTACAATAATAACATCGTGACATAACTTGTTTTTGGTGGTTGAAAGAGTCTCCTGTCTATTAGATTTCAACCCTTGACATAAAAGTACTTCTTAATCAAGAATTAATTAATAAATTTTGAGTG